TAAAAAATGTGACTGTACAGTGTTACATATTTCAAATGTTAAGCATTATTATTGCACTACTTTTAACAGCATGCAGTGAAACAAAATAATGTCTTTGGTAAAAATTGCATTCAACTCCATACTATTCATGAGAATACTTAAGTTGTAAACAATGTAGAACGTTACAGATGATACATAAAACATAAAAAGGTGCAAATGTGAAAACTGTTATGACTAAAAACATCTCATTCTGAACATAAACTGTAAATGTTTTTTTTTCTATGGTATGACCTATTGTGAGTATACTGCATATATAATCTTCTTCATCTTCACGTTCACTGGCTGGAAACCCCGGGGAAAAAGTTATGGCTGTTTGTCCACTTCTGGACCATAGTCTGTTGACAGGACCTGATTGTTGCCTGCGCATCCATTTTACAGTTAAGACTCATTTGCATGCAGACTGTTGGTTCTGTAATTCTCAGACAGGTGCACTCTGACTTCGAAAGATGCTCCCAATTAATTAACTCGTACGACATAAAAAAAAAAAAAAAAATGTTGAATTTAGTGCCAGAATTTGTGAAATTCGTGATCAAGATATGGGCAGGTAAAAATATCTCCAACATAAAATTCTGTAAACTCTAAACACATGAAAAAATGGTACAATGTTTGTGGATGTTTAAAAAGTAACTCACATAACATTGTCAATTTACTAAGCATCCTAAGTTAATTACCAAAGAATCATCACCAAAGAATCATCTTACCAGTGATGGCCTAAATTAATTATTGGGATTTGGGGGTGATCAGGCAAAAATATCTCCAACAGAGAATATGAAGGGCTCTAAATAATGACAGATGCATGAACAAATGCTACAATGGTTGTGGATTTAAAAAAAAATGATTAAAATAAGGTTAGGTAATTTAATAATTATTTCAAGTTAATTATAAAGCGGCAAAAACGGTCTCCTAGTGCAAACATATTGGATTTGAAGCGAAAACAGTGATGCGACTAAACAATTTTTTTTAAACATGTGTTGTATTGCCAATCTTTGTGAAATTTCCCACACTTATATAAAAATTAACGCAGTATTGAAAAATACACCACACATTGCGGTAATCTGGCTAATTAAGAAGATATTTTCCATCTACTTCTTCTTCTTCCCTTCTTCTTCTTCTTCTTCTTCTTCTTCTTCTTCTTCTTCTTCTTCTTCTTCTTCTTCTTCTTCTTCTTCTTCTTCTTCTTCTTCTTCTTCTTCTTCTTCTTCTTCTTCTTCTTCTTCTTCTTCTTCTTCTTCTTCTTCTTCTTCTTCTTCTTCTTCTTCTTCTTCTTCTTCTCTTCTTCTTCTTCTTCTTCTTCTTCTTCTTCTTCTTCTTCTTCTTCTTCTTCTTCTACTTCTTCTCCCGCTTCTTCTTCTGCTGCCTTATAACCCATAATGGTGCATAGACCACCCAACCAGCTCAGATCAAGTCGTTCTATTCTTCGCTATAACATGCAGCTTACTGTCTAGCTCCCTTCTCCTTGTGTTTTTTTCCTTGGTAGCTTGGGTTCCAATTTTATGTTAAGCAATAACTTTCAATCAACTGTTAATGTTTTTTTCCGCGCTTCATGTTCCCAACAGTAAGCAGAAGATTGCCCTGTAGCGACAATATAGTGACATGCTGTGATCACCAGTAATCACATTCATTGCAGGACAGAAAAATCAATGCTGAACTGCTTGAACAAAAATCCTGTGGATTTTTGTTTCCATCAAAAGAACAAGGGAAAAACAAAGATGTATATATCCTTATGGCTTGGTGGAAGTTGGAAAAGAACACTGACATGACCGAGATACTAGCGATCTTATGGCGATCTTATGGGATGTCAAACCAATACCGCTTGCGCTTATCGTACTGATAATGTAGAGTGTAAATGGAAGCTGGCTTTCCCTTTGATATTTTTCGTCACGTAAATTATATCTAAGTATTTCTTCATCTTTATTAAAGATCTAGATGTTACTTCGCATAAATTTGCAAATAATAAAGATCATAGTTTTCAGCAGTCACTTGAGATTGTTTTTAAGCGTTTTAGCGAATTAATCGTTACTTCATAACAACAAGATTTCCTTTCTTGTATAAGTCTCTGAAGTTATCTCATAGCCCGCACTGGTTATTGTCGGGTAGTGCTGGATAAATTCATCCCTTCATGGGATAAACAGAATAAACATAACAAAGTAAACTCAGTATGCAGAACCAGTCCCGGTTTGCAATTGATTATTAGTAATTTCTGTTCCTTATTCATAGACAAGCTGTCAGTTGTAGGCCTGGGGAAACAACTAGAATACCAGAGTGTTTATGCTAAAAACAAATTGTTTTTTTTTTTTATCTTTAGAGTATCTTGAAAAGAAAAAAAAAAAAAAAAAGAGAGAGAGAGAGAGAGAGAGAGAGAGAGAGAGAGAGAGAGAGAGAAAAGTAAAGAAAGATAAAAGGAGTAATATTGAAAGATGGAAAGATAGTGTGAGAGAAAGAGAATAGAAAGATATATAAAAATAGTGAGAAATTATAGAAGACAGAAAGAGAGATCGAAAGAAACAGACAAACAGAGAAGAAAGACTGATTGAGAAAGAGAAAGAAAGAGAGGAGAGAAAGAGATACACAGTGAAAGACGGAAAGCGGTGGAGAGAGAGAAGAGAAGAGAAGAAAAAGAAAGACAAAGATATATGTAATTATAAAAAAGACAGCAAGAAAGAGCTCAACAAGACAAACGAAGAGAAGGATTGAGTGAGGGAGTGTGTATGTGTGTGTGTGTGTGTGTGTGAGAGAGAGAGAGAGAGAGAGAGAGAGAGAGAGAGAGAGAGAATCATATTTCTTATAGCGAATCCCAGGGCAGTTTTCCCCATCATTCCTTTCCTCTTCTGCGTTTCTCTCTAAACAGGTGGTTGGTGTGTCGTGTTGTGGCTTCTATATCTGTGCTTTTCGTGACAACACGTCTACTTTTCTTTTGTCAATATCTGCTTATGCCGCTAGGCGTAGCAGTTCATCAGACAATCGGCAGCCGAACCAGGGCGCGTTCGGTCGCTTGATATACCGTGATGTCATGCAGTCTCAAGGTGACAGTGACTCCTTTAAACCATCTTCTTCTTGGTCTTCCCCTGCCTCTTGATGTTTCGATTTTCAAGTTGTACGTTCTTGCTGCTGGCATCATTTGTTTCATTCTTATTAGAATGGCCAAACCATTTCCTTCTTTGTTTCTCAATAAATTTGACGATGGGTCTTGTTCCGACAGTTTTTGTGATCAGGTCGTTTTTCACTCGATCAAGCCAGCGGAAGGCAGCAGTGACTGCTTCCACCTCCTTTCTCAAACAGACGTTTGAGACCACCATGAACTTCGTTTGCCTCTCAACACAGAGCCATCTGTATAGATAATAACATCACTAGGGCGGGAATTGTCACGAATCATTTGTTGAACTTCTCATTCTGCAGCACCAGCTGGCCTGTTCTTGCACTCACGACCTAAAGTGATTAGAAGCCTACACAAGTCTAAAACATGCTCGACATCTTGAACCACTCCTCGCCCAAATATATCGAGCCTGCCCACATTTCAAATTGTGTGTTCGGCTTGCGCCATCCAAGACCTTTTTCTTTTTAGTCTGTGACCCTTAGATCTACTCAGGGCTTCATGCATTAGGTGCTTCTTGTCTGCAGCTACTCTGAGATATGACTATCTAGCAAAACTTTGAACCTATACGTATAGATTTATGCGTATAGATCGCATAAATACTACCTGGGTATCACTTGTACAACGCAAAATTACCCGCATGGCTTCATTCTTCATATGCCTTCAAGTGTCATCAGCTGACTCTGATATAGTAAGCATTCCAAGCCTATAATCTATCACCGACAGGATCACACATGCTGGAACATTTTGAACAGCATATTTTGATCCATTTCTGGCATAATCTTGAGATGAATGCGTCTTTTTTTTTTTTTTTTCACCGCAGTTTCCTTCACATGATTCCTAAAGGAATCTTGGGAAACTTTTCTGGAATATGCGAGATACTTTTTTTTTTATACCTGCTCAGCAATGAAACCGATCCTTACTGACTACATAAATTTAACGAAAAATCTCAGAGCCTTTCTTTAAGCCGTCGATAAAATTAATGTGGACTTTCATTACCTTCCAAATAGACTTGCACTGCATACGGATCAACAAACAGACGTTATTCTTTGTCAATACAGGCAGACTAAATTCTAAAGTATATGTACATGCACTGTCTATCCATTTGTAAAATGGCAGTTGTAAAAAAGCCAAGACAACCTTCAGTGGCATTTAAAAAAAATGTATTCTTCAAATCATTCCTAGACATGGACACGGATACAGGCACGGGCACACACGCACAACACACATTTCGCAAAGCGATTTCCCAGCAGTCAGTTACAATGTTATCTAGCGGTCATGTATGTTTCTATTATGAAGACATTATAACTTAAAGGGAGTCTAGACTTAAATTGCATTTCTTCATAGATTTCGCAATGGATCGTAAAGCTTAGGTCATCTTTGTCAAATAAATATTATCATGTTTCCAATTCTTAAGGAGCTTAAGCCCTTATCCAACCTACGCCAAGCCATTTTATCAGTTACTATTGCATGCAGATCACACCATGTGCATCCCATCTTTTTTTAAACTTCACTCACTAGCTTTTCCCCAAAGTTTTTGTGTGCGTATAGGAGGGGTTGAAAAAGGGGGTACTGCCTTTATTTATATGCCTTTGCGGGTTCCAATGCAAAGACGTTCACATTAAATCGTTCTTTCCTGAAAGTGCGCTCTATCCAATGCCAGCGTCTTTTCTTTACCTCTGAACACACCTGAATTTGCTAAGCTCTCTTCTGAAGCTCCATACAGGTTACTCTACTCCTGTGGGAGTGTGATATTGATTGCATCTCCCACAAAGCCCTAGTAAGGCAAAAAAAAAAATATGATTCCAGCGTCATATGTCCAGCACTGACCCCAGCAGGGTCTTTTACTTTGATTAGTTTTGTACTTTTTCTAATTATAAACTGGAGCATCAAAATCAATGTAGGAATGCCCCTTGGCGTCTGAAGCCACTGCAAGAATAAAAGGAGGAGCAGGCAAGCTGTTCACTTTTCCGTAGACAGCACACGCCTTGAAAGAGCAGGGAGATTCTCTCCATGCATAGCGTACTCCCTTGATACTTTCACCAGCACGACAAGGGTTGTGAAGGGTGACACTGACTTGATCATGCGATGTGATGTTTGCAGCAACCCACCTTGATAAACACAGCAGCTGAAATTATCAGCAATGTTGAAAAGCTGATAGAAGCTTTAATTGTACATGACACGAAAAACATACATTTACAAAACAAAAATACTGTAAAAGGTTGGCTATAAAAGACGAATATTGGAATGTTTTGGTCACTTCAAACGTCACGAAAGTTCGGAGTGAACAATAATGGATGAGTATATGCTGTGGGAATAGGGAAAGAAGGCTAAAGAGAAGATGGGTGCTGGATGTGGCGGATGAACTCCAGATGGGTGTATTGGACGCGGGCCATCTTGCTTGTGATCAAGAAGTTTTCCAGAGGCTTGTTATGGAAGCAAGGTTCTGCAAAGGACATGCTACTGACAGACTGACCCCAAAAAAAAAAAAAAAAAAAAAAACATACACATCAAAACCTTACATCTAAAAATCATAAACAAAATACGAATACACAGACCACGTAGGTGTTAACATTTCACTTATACATTCTAGTTACAAATGAGGGCTTGTATGAGCTATTTTCTTGAATCAATCATATGGCGTCTTCACAGCGAATGTAGGTAGATATGGATTTCCACTGCTCATTATGTTGTGCCTTGGATGTGGACTCTCTGATTCTGCTGTTCGTCGATCCTTCTATGTTATCATCCCACTTGTATCGCCATCTGCCTCTTGGTTGCTTCCCCCCTCCCCCGCTCCAGGCATAGATTTTTAACACAGGTAGTGTTATTTCTTTTAATCTAGCCATAGCAATGTCTCTCTCTCTCTCTCTCTCTCTCTCTCTCTCTCTCTCTCTCTCTCTCTCTCCCTCTCTGTCTCTCTTAAAAAAGGGCCTTTCTGCCAGCAGCTCTTTTTATTGTTATTATTAATATTATTCTTATTTCAATTCTTTTCAGATTTCTGTCTGTCCTCCCCCTCCTCCCCCCCTCGGACAAAAAAAAAAAAAAAAAAACTAGGAAAGCTAACCAGCTTCAACAAATGCCCGCAGAAGTCGGGTATGTTGGCCAAAGGGCGTTAATATCGCTGCCATACTGTAAGCGGAGACAATCTAATTATGAACGCAGAAGACGCTTCAGTATAGCCATATCTCCAGACAGTTTGATTCTGTAAATGCTTATTCGCTCTCTAGATTTATACACCATTCATTTAAGAATAAATTACATATACATTACATCTGATAACTCCCGTTTTAGATGTTTATATTATCTCTCTAGATGTCAATACAAAGCAAGAAGATGGAAGTAAGACAAGGATGAACCAGTAATTGCACTCTGTTACTATCCAGTTTCGTCCTTTCTAGGACGAAATGTTTTTGTCATTTAAAGCCCCACCCTGGCTTTATCCAGGGGCCGCAATATAGGCAGGCCATAAATATGGCCAATTGCCTGAACGCGGTTTCTGGGACCTCTCCACGGCGATCCTTATCCACATGATGGCACTTTGTGTCATCGGGTGTTTATCGCTTGTGTGATGTCCTGGTGGGGTAGAGAGTCAGTCAGTCTACTATCAACCGACTTGCTTGAATTATACAGTGAGTATATAATGATATTTATCATGTATATATGTCAGAAATTGTGGTTGGTGGGCATACAATAAACAAAATGCGTAATGTTGATGACACCGTATTTTAGAGCTAATAGACATACACATATGTTCCTCTAAACCAGGAGTTCTCAACCTGCGGGTCGCGATCCTTTTTTGGGGTTAAACGTCCCTTTCACAGGGTTTGCCCAAGATCTTCGGAAAAACACATATCTATTGGAGTCATTGAGAAAAATAAATGTCTGGGGGTCACTACAACATGAGGGAACTGTTTTAAAGAGTCGCGGCATTAGGAAGGTGGAGAGCCACTGCTCTAAACCAAAGAATGTCCCCCCCCCCCCTCAAATATAAGTTATGTGGCCTGTTACCCTACACACACACACACACACACACACACAAAAACACACACACACACACAAACACACGCACACACACACACACACACACACACAAAGCCTAGCAATCTATACCAACGGCGCTCCTGGAATGAAAATGGTTCTGTACTTTACATAGTTTATTGGAATACTCTATAACAATACGGGTCTCTGGACATATGCCCAATGAAGTAAAAGTGTCCTTTGCCTGTTTATTTTTACACTAAAAATCATTATAGTGAGCAATAACAATGGAAAACTTACTATAAAACAATTACCTCAAATCCCGATATATTTCTAATCTCCAGGTTGGCAGAAGATCCATAGGTAATCTTGAATCCACTGGCAGTCACTTCGGCCTTCGATGGATATGGGCCTTGGAAAACTTCCTGCCTCCCATAGGCAATAGCCAGACCACCAAGAGCGAGTCTGTCCCCGACATCCTTCTTGTCTCGTGGGTGTATGCTGCAGTGTAAAATTATGCCAAAAGTAATGATTACTACAAGCAGGATTTAAACATAACATTAGAGCATATAAATGTTAAACAGACATCTGAGTTTAAATATCTTGGAACAACATTAACTGAAGATGGTAAATTGGACGAAGAAATAAAGACATACGACTCAGTAAAACAGGCCAAGTATTGGGACAGCTAGCTCCCTCTTACAGTATAAAGCAATTTCAATCAGCATAAAGAAACATCTCCTACAAGGCATAGTCATTTGCACCCTATGCTACCAGTGCCAGGCGTGGTCACTCATAACAAAACATAAAAGAAAATTTGGAACCATGGAAAAAAGATGTCTGAGAAAGACTGTGGAAGTGACCAGAAGAGATACAAATCAGGAATGAGGTCATAAACATACAAAGACATCAAATCAAATGGTTTACCAACTTGGAGAGAATGCCTTCTGATGATATACTATACAAAGCATAAACCAAAAGAGGAGAGAGACGTACAGCAAGAGATAGACCAAGAACAATATGGGAAGAAAACATCAGAGAAACTCTACAGCACCACGATGTGTCAATGGTCGAAGCAGCCAGAAGAGCACAAAGCAGGACTTTATATCTCCCTCGACACCAGAAGCCGTAAAAGAGGACGTAAATAAGACAAATGAATACTACACTGAAATACCTAACTTGGTTATTCTTATAGTCCATGCCGGGTGGCGTTGGTAGTCGTATCTATCCAAAGTCTCCTGTCTCGTGTACTTTCAGTCAGTTCTGATACCGTTGATAATCGATGTCATGATGTAATGCTGTCCAGAATCATCTCTCTCTCTCTCTCTCTCTCTCTCTCTCTCTCTCTCTCTCTCTCTCTCTCTCTCTCTCTCCCTCTCCCTCTCTGTTGGTCACTCTACATTGTTTTTCGTATCCAGCTTTCCTAATCTCACAAGGTACTCCAGTTTTCCTGCTTCTTGTAACATGACTAGTTATGGTAGATTGTCTCCTGACATGATTCTAAAACTACATAATTTCGTTTCATATTTTGGCAAGACATCCGCAGCTTTTACATTTTTGAAAAAAATTGTGTTACTCTAAATGACACAGTCTGAGAATCAGGTTACATATTTTCAGTTAAAATCTTATATCATTTTCAACATTTGCCAGAGAAATTTAGAGATCTACTAATGATTTGGAATTCAAGCACAACACATTTAAAAACAAATTTGATGAATTTAACAAGGGTTGAGAAATTTGATAAATGTATAGGCAATCACTTGTATCAACAACGATAAGCTAGAGAAGATATATATTGGACAGCTTGTGAGAAGAGACATTGTTTATCATCATCCATCCCTCGATGAAAACAAAACAACAAAATCGACGAATGGAATGCATGCATACGTTTTTGCACATACATATGTATATGAGGCTGTCAAATTATTTCATCTCTTTTTTAAAAACTAAGCAAAAGCTCGACAACGTTCAACCTAGTGCGAGCAGTGTCGGCTATAACTGTGATCTTGTGGCAAATATGTTGGCTAAGAAGTGTTAATTGCACCAAAACGAGTAGCTTGGACTGGTACTCTAGTTCCTAATTATGGTTGTTAGGGAGGGAGCTGGTATGCACCATATATATATATACATATATACATATACATACACACACACACGCAAATCTGGTCTCGGAAACTGAAATATTCTGGCCATGATAAGCACTATAGCGGATTAGAAAGAAACATTAGCAGAATACGTGGTACTAGGAAAGTGATGCAGGAGCCGACCAACACGAAGATGGGCTCATGAGATATGACACCTTGAGTAGGAAAGTGCACGGGAGTGAGGATTTGTGTATCCCTATCTCCTGTCGGAGGCCAGCTTGAGCTTTAGTTTGCGGGTAGAGTGAATTACTGTTTCACGAAATTATGTTTGTTTAAAATGTAAAACTTATATCACAAGTTTGGAAAACTCTAAGTTATACTGTAAACACACCCCCCCCCCGCGCCCCCCCCCCCCAAAAAAAAACAGCATCGTTTTTCGCTGGCTCGTTTTTATTAGTTTGTAAACAAAATATCATACTTGGGCATGTGAAAAACAGTATCAAATGTTGATTACTGTTGCTAGTGGACGTGTGGGCGTGAACTGCGTTGGTTTTTATAATTGTTACAACTCAGTGGTCAGTTATGTTTAAGACCATATTTGTCAGCATAGCTCATGATGTGCCTAGCAGAAGCAACACGATTTGGGTAAAAACTATACACTGCCTACCCAATTAAAACACTATAAAAGGATAACGCTATACAAAACATTCAGTTTATCTTCTAGCAGTCACTAAAGACGCCTCTACATATAGATTTAAGAAATGTTGCTATTTGCCGATTGCACGCAGGGTAAAGTCAAAGTCAGGTTGAACGACCCTGATTGACAACAGCAGCGGAGAATTGCTTTATTTGGCTTCGTGACATCCGAGAAAGGTTTACCACTTCCTCAACTGCGCAGGCATTGCCTCCAGGACCTCATGTGTCTGATCAAACTGTTCGGAACAGACTGCATGAAATTGGACTTTGGGAACTATGACTTCACCGAGGACCTGTCCTTACGCGTCGCCACCGCCAAAATCGACTTCTTTGGATCTATCAACATCGTCCCTGGGCTGGTTGACATCAGTGGAGACTTGTCTAATTCAGTGGCAAATTTTTTCTGTTAGTTGCAACGTCATGATTGACGAAAAAAGGGTCAATTGTAGGCGAAATAAAGGTTTACCCCAAAATTGTGTTGATAAAGCTCAGCTGCACGGTAGTGGAGTTGTTATGGTGTGGGGAATGATCAGTTACAGAGGAAAAAGTCAACCGGAGCACACTGAAGAAAGCTTGAATGTGCAACGATACGTCAGTGGACCTTGTTTTGGAAGGTTGACCACGCAGTTCTTGGCTGCCAATAACATTCAAACCCTTTCCTGGCCATCCATGTCAGCAATAATGAGTCCGACTGGGCACCTGTGGGATGAGCTGCAAAGACGTGTTTGTCGTTGAGACGTTGATCCATCCAGTGGTCGTGATCTGTTCCAGGCACTCCAAGAAGGGTGGGCAGCTATCCCAAAGGTCTACATCAAACATCTGATCTAAACAATGTCTAGGAGATGCCAGTCACTGGTCGATACAAGAAGAAGCCAGTCACCATACTAAAGAGAACGACCGTACGCCTAAAACTTATTGTGACTAAGATGAAGAAAAAAGGAAAAATGCCAATTGATTGGTGGAACCCTAAGGCATTCTTCTGTAAAATTTGAGTAATTTCACTAACTGCATTCCAAAGATGCGGAATGTCAAAACTTTGAAAGATTTTCAGTAGCTATGCGTTTCCTTTTTTGGACAGTATAGATAGTATAATAGTTAGAACGTTAAGTTCTAACACTGTGCGTCCTTACCTGCCGTATGGTGAGTTAAAGTCCGGTAAATCCATAGCAACAGCCATAAATGTATTTGGCATCTTGGGGTTTGGCACATACCCGTAATCAGCTGTCTGATGCCAGCGAATGTCTGGGTATCCTACTGATTGGGTAGGTGCATTTGCATTTGGATACAGCTAGTGTTGATATAAATAAAAGAAACTGTATAAAAGTATTAGAGATCATTAACATCATCATTATAATCAATTGCTCATTAACGTTAAGCAAATCGTGGGAAGCAACAGTTTGCTCCTAGGGCGACCTCTTGCTTTCATGTGCTGTGCCATGTTGTTAGCTGTTGTGGCGGGAGTCTAGCCAGATGACAAAATCATTCGATATTCTGTTCTCAATGAATTTGGTGCATGGGAATGTACCCACAGTCTAACTGATGGCATCATTTCTTACTTTGTCTCGGATGGTTAAGTTGGCAGCTTCTAGTTTCACAGGTTTTTATTTTATGTAGGTTAGCCGGTGATTATATCCAAGTTTGGCACTTGTAGCACAATGCTGGTATGGATATTTGAATAGGCTGTTTATAAATTGTTTCTTGGCTGTCATACTTACGCTTGGATGTCTTAAAAAACGGTGTCAGTTGGTATATAAGTGCACTTGCTCGTTGGCATTTTGTTTCTCTTTTCCGATCTATTCTCTCAAATTAAAGAATCTAACACATCAAAGGTTTACAATGTAAAGTCGACTGGCTGGACGTCATTACAACAGATTTCACTCTCTTTGGCGCGATGATTAAACAAAGACAATCGCATGCAAAAACTTCCTAGGACATTCTCTGGTGCAAATTTCAGGCTGGGTCCACCTAGGAATCCAATGTGGATTCGAATCCAAGACCTTCGTTCCCACAGGTGAGCATCTATCCATTGCCCAATGGCGGTCATTGATAGTATTCATGTTAACTGAAATATAATAACAAAAGGTTTTAACCACCATCTTTCAATGGCACCGACAACTATGGCATTGCTTTCTCTGTGTCAAAAGTGTCATCACTGTAGTCCATTGTCTTCTTGTAATTAATTCACTGTGTGTCGTTTTGACATTTGACGTTGGTGGCAGTAAATATTTGCTATGTGTATCTATTGTAGACTTTTTGAATGTTGCATGATCCTTTGATTAATTTTTTTTTTTTTTTTAAACTGGCAATGACTTTGCCACCACTGTGGTGAAGCTGGAAGAACGATGTTTCCATTTGACTTTTTACAACTGTATTTTCACTCATTCATTAGTTGTCCTGTGTTATTTTATGCTGTATAAAGATTGCAGTGTGTCTCTCTGTTTCGCTCTATCCTATGCAGTCGCTTCAATATCATGGATAAAATCCTTTCGAGTATCTTTGGCTTCTCTCATCGATGTTCACCTTACGGTTTCACTTGGGCGTAGCTTTTGTCCCCCCCCCCTTCCCCACCCCCCCCCCCTTTTTTTTCTACATCCTTCTATTTCCAATGTACATGTTTGCTTTGTGATTCTTTCTCCGCCTTTTCTTAGAATGTGTCCAGTATATCGATATCTTCTCTTTACTGTTGATTCTAATGGTTGTCCATACAATTCTCTCAACTTTGTTTTACACTGCTATTGAATTAATCTCATTTTATGTTTACTAGATTCCTTAGGCTTTCCATATACCCGATACGACTAAAGAAGTAAAATGTGACTTTTTTTAAATTTGTATATTACCTCGGCATTTCTTTTAAAATGACTTTCACTTGCGTTCCATATATCAACTGTTTTTTGGGAACTTTTGCTGGCAAATGTTAAAAACGTTTATAACATGATGATTGAAAATACGTAACTTGGTTGTAAACTATTTAGAGTTCCATACATTGTCAAAGCTTATGAAAAACTGCTGTCGCCCTGCCAATGCATGTCATAATTTCTTACTTCCCTTTCCTGTTTCTTTGAGTATCAATTGTAATACATTACCTACCTAAATACGTAAATTGATCTGTAACAGTAATTCGTGTCGTCGCTAGTGTTACATATTGCTTGATTTGTAGGCTGTAGGTAAGAGAATGGTCAGTATGGGAGGCTGCAGGTAAGAGAATGGTCAGTGTGGGAGGCTGTAGGTAAGAGAATGGTCAGTGTGGGAGGCTGTAGGTAAGAGAATAGTCAGTATGGGAGGCTGCAGGTAAGAGAATGGTAAGTGTGGGAGGCTGTAGGTAAGAGAATGGTCAGTATGGGAGGCTGTAGGTAAGAGAATGGTTAGTGTGGGAGGCTGTAGGTAAGAGAATGGTCAGTGTGGGAGGCTGTAGGTAAGAGAATGGTCAGTGTGGGAGGCTGTAGGTAAGAGAATGGTCAGTGTGGGAGGCTGTAGGTAAGAGAATGGTCAGTATGGTAGGCTGTAGGTAAGAGAATGGTCAGTGTGGGAGGCTGTAGGTAAGAGAACTGTCAGTATGGGAGGCTGTAGGTAAGAGAACGGTCAGTGTGGGAGGCTGTAGGTAAGAGAATGGTCGGTGTGGGAGGCTGTAAGTAAGAGAATGGTCAGTGTGGGAGGCTGTAGGTAAGAGAATGATCACTATGGGAGGCTGTAGCTAAGAGAATGGTAAGTGTGTGAGACTAGGTATATTAAATGGTTCCGGTGCAGCATGATTCGAAATAATTATGGATGTGGAGCTTTGGAGGACAACAGACCTATTGCAGGGCCTTAAGAAGTGAAGAAAATGCGCCGGAGTTGACGTACGTTGATAAAATGTAACACTACATAAATAGAGTGTATTTGCACTGGAACATGCATGTGCATAATAATAAATGCTGAACAAGAAACAGATATTTAACTAAGGTCAAGTGAAAACGATGGGGAGGATAGGACATGGGGTAAAGTGCACGTGAAAGCAAAAAACGGTGAGACTTAGCTAAGTTAGTTAAGAGTTTATGCTCCGTTTGATGATCATGGGTAGAAGTAGCAGCAAAAGCAGAAGCGAAACATAAGGAGGAGGAAAAGCATGGTGAGAAGGAAAAGAAAAAGGAGCATTTCTATATAAATCCTGCATGTACAGTGTACGACAAGAGTACAAAGTACCACATAAAGGAAGTCCTGTAAGCACCGTGGATAGAAACTTGCATACTTCCATTAAGGTCTATGGTTCGAATCTAGCTTATGCATAATTAGTTTTTTTAATAATTGACCTTGGCTTTAAGGTCGACCCAGTCTAACATGTGTGCAAGTAAAAGAGGCCAGCGTTTTCCTGACTGTTACCCATTGAAGTCTATAAGTACATGCGTCTGTTATTGTTTACCTGATAAAATACTGAGGTGAAAAAAGTTCATTTTCGTTTTTACTTTTTACCTGTACAAAGCCAAACGGAAAAGAAGGATTTGTCTGACTGTTGGAAGCCTGATGGAAATTCAGTCTCCAGTCGCTGATCATTGTCGGAAAAGTACAGTTGTAATGTTGCATTTTAACTCCACTTGCATCAGCCGAACCTTTATACAAATAAATGTTTTTTTTTTTTTTTTTTCTGCGTAAAGAATGAAAGGAATCATACAGAAGCTTTGTAGGCTCAGATCAATGAAAATAGAATACAATGGTGGGAGACAATTCGTGCGGTAGATGGATTTCAGTTTGGCAGACTATTGAAGGAGTAATAAATAAACAAATACATTAAAATCAATGAATGAATGAATCAATCAATCTATTATTCAATCAATATGTATTAAAACAATTGTCCTATTAACTTTATTCCACGCCATCCTGGTTATTACTACCATCCTCTTTGTTGTCATCATTATCATCATCATCATTAACATCATCATTATCATCATCATCCTCATCATCACTATGTAGCAAGTCATTTGCAGAAAGTGGCTCATGTAACAGCACGGCAGAAAGCTGCTCTGCTCTGTGTAAGATTTAACTTCTCGGGAACATTCACAAAATCTGTGATTTTATTTGTCTTCCGTCGTGCTGGTCTGCGTCTGCTTCTTTCTCCGTAACCCTTGTAAGTAAAGTAAAGTAAAGGACTCTCTTACAAGCCTTTAGGCGTTTAGGGCATATAGTTCTAGACCTATTTAGTTATAGACTAATCGGCACAAGATGGGGTCATGTCGTGACCATTGTATTCAATTACATTTCACTCTCCAAACCATTGTGACATTTATCTAGACCGAAGCATTTCAGCCCCCCCCCCCCCCCCCCAAAAAAAAAAAAAAAAAAAAACCAGGCGTCAGTCCACCTTGATGTTCAGATGATAAAGAATGTCAGTATGTTGATTTCGTTAAGACTATTTGTGTGTATGGGAGGGAAAAAAAAAAGGGGGGGGGGGGGGGGGGTTGTAAAATGCGTAGAACAATTTGTGCTGTCTTTACAATAGAGGTTGGCAGCAAGGTATCCACTGTTAACTATGGGAATAAAACGGTTATATTAATCACTCCCACGGTGCAACTCTTACACCACTGAATGAAATTCAGAAGAAAAGTCTTTTTCTAAATCACCTGACGCGGGAATAAAGCTTAGGTAAAGTCACAAAGCGGTATTATAGTCAACGATTCTTCTGATAATATTTACGTTCAAAAGCAATGAATAGTAGTTGAATCAATAAAAACAATGTGATTTGATTATTTTATTCAAACACACTGCTTAAGGTGACATTTTTAATACACACTTAACAGTTGACAGAAAGTGAATTATAACCTTTCTAAAAACCGTTGGCCTGAGGATTCAGTGCCCAATGGCTATTGAAGGTTTTGATTTTACTTTTGCACCCGATATAAAAGAAAACCTTAACTTAACCGACGATTCGAACCAGCGGTCTTCCACCTGAGACCCTTTGCCTTCTTAACCGTTCGGTTAGGTGCTCCTCTATCCAAGCTTTAACGGAGATAAATTGTAAAGAGTAACCAGCATACGCATGATTAGCTTCTTGGCATTGCAAGAGCTGAGTTCATATAACAGTCTTTTACTTCTCAAAAGTACAGGGTTATTCACAATGATAAATACACTTTCCATACAGCGGGAAATGCTTCTCCTGTGTGGTGGTTCTATGCCGAATGAATTGGGAATGCTCGCTGCACTGCTGTTGCTGATTCAGTTTCGCCAACCTCAAGATTGCAGAACACATTGTGATTGTGCTGCACGGTGGTCATCTTACACGGAACTGAACTGAAGGGTCATAGTGTCACGAGCATGCACACTCGAGTGGTTGGTTATGCTGCTGCGCTCTAGCTGCAGTATTCGAAACTTTAGACCTTCTCTATATTTTGTGTGTATACTATTACTTTTCAAAGTATATAAAATAAAATATACATAAATGAAGGTGTATCCATCGTTTTGAATAACACTGTACATGTATTTTCATAAGACACGAACTAGAAAAATTACTATCTTTTGGATGTCATAAGATATACACATATGTCAGAAAATTTTAACAGCATATATTATATATATATATATATATATATATATATATATATATATATATATATATATATATATATATATATATATATATATATATATATAAATTAATAACATTAAATAAAAATTGATACCTTGATACCAAATTACTCCCTTTATAGAAGTTTTAAGAAGAGGATGGATCATTGCATTCCACAAAACAGAATTGGAATTTTGATCCTGTAGTCTCACCTCTGTGGTTGATTCGTGAATTATATATCTATAGTGGAGAAATATGATTAAAACATTATATTCGGAATAACTATCAAGCATACATGCGACTGTGATGAAAAAATTAGCGGGTACCACATGGGGCGCTAACTCCAGAATTTTAAAACAAGTATATACTGGAGCAGTCAGGCCAGTTATGGAATTTCCCTCCACTGGATGGACTGCAGCAGCCAAGACAACAATGGGGAAACTGGACAAGGTTCAGAATATGGGATTAAGGATTGTTCTCGGAGCCATAAAAACCACCCCCATCAGAGAGATAGAGAAAATAGCAGATACTGAACAACTCGAACTCAGAAGACAATACAAAACTCTTTTACAGTATGAGAAATTAAAAAAGACTTCAAAGTCACCCACTGCATTTTAAATTTCAAGAGAGAACAAAAAAAAAAAAAAAAAAAAAAAAAAAAAAAAAAAACAGACTGAAGCGTCAGAGCCCCAACCACCTTGCTAGAGAACTGCACAAACAGCACCAAGATCTGCTTGAAAGAGATGTTGCACTGTGCGAAAAACTTAGGCCAGAACCATGGACAAGCAAGCCAGAGAAGGCAAATGTAGTCCTAAAGGTACCAGGGATCACTTCAAAAGATGCCCAGACGGAGACACAACAGAGAACCCTGGCTCTTGCTATGCTTGATGAGAAGTATCCAAACACCACTTGGACTCAGGTTTTCACCGACGGTTCTGCTACAGATGCAGTCAGAAAGGGAGGATGTTGGATATACATTAAACCCCCTAGCAGAAGAGCAGAAACTCTGTCACTACCAGTAGGTGACATCTGCACTAACTTCAGAGTTGAGGCAACTGCCCTCCTTTCTGCAGTCCAAGATCTCATCACTCAAGAACACAGAGGGCACAAAATTATTATACTTAGTGACTCATTGTCTATTCTCCAAGCACTATCAAGCAAAAAGCAAGACAAACTAATTGCAGATCTAAGGACCAACATCGGCTTACTCTCAAAGGAAGCAGAACTGGTCTTGCAGTGGATACCAGCCCACTGTGGTATTCAAGGAAATGAGAGAGCAGATGAGTTGGCAAAAGCTGGGAGTAATCTCCCACAACCTCATCCACCACACAGCTACAAGGAAACCAAAACAGCGCTAAAGCAGTTTAAGCGGGAGTGGAGAAAGCAGAATGGAGATTACAGACAGAGAGTGACAGCATAAACAAACTCAACAGGAAAGAACAAACATCAATTTTTAGACTTCGGACAGGACACTGTGGTCTTCGAGAACACCTGTACAGGATAGGCATAAAAGAATCTGCTGCCCGTGATTGTGGAGCAGAAAGACAGACCCCTGAGCACATACTGCAGTACTGCCCTAACCTCTCCCAGCAAAGACTGTGGATCTGGCCCAAGGGAGCCACATTGCAAGAGAAGCTATTGGGGACCAGTGGCGACCTTAAACGCACAACCCTATTTGTGACCCAGACGGGACTCAATGTTTAGCATGACTGATGTCGAACGCAGAAGAAGAAGAACATGGAACTGGAAAAAGAACATGTGTAAGACGATTTTGAATCAGTAATAGTGTGTGTGTATGTGTGTGTGTGTGTGTGTGTGTGTGTGTGTGTGTTCGTGTCTAAGAAGTGGACAAGGCAGACACCTAAATGAGCTGTGTTCCAGAGACGTTGAAATAATGGAGTCAGATACAATACACGGCCTGTTGAAAACGGATATCAGACGGGGACAAACACTGCAGAAACAGGTTACGCGGGAAATTGACATGCCATTCAATTTCTGGAGGATGCCTTGAGCATAGAAACACTGAGATGGTTGCAGTATCGGATGATGAAGAACGAATGGGTCGGACCGATGTGCTGGGATGGCGATGTCTACAACAAGTAATAAATACGCACATTTTCGGTCAAATGCACACACATATCTGGTTGATATGAAAATACTCATGGAGTCAAATACACACACATATTTGGTTGATATGAACATACGCAGCTAAGTAAAATGCCCACACATATATTGTTGATATGAACATAATCTGCTGAGCCAAATGCGCACACATATCTGATTTATATGAACATACTCATGGAGTCAAATGCACACACATATCTGGTTGATATGAACATACTCAGGTGAGTCAAATGCACAACCCACACACACAAACAACGTACACGCACACACAAATACACATACACACACACATATATATATATATTTTTTTTCCGGATACATCTGTGTGACATGTGCTCATATACATCTATGTGGAATGCACATCCTGAACATATCTTTGTGGTATACGCACAAACACCTACCTTAAAGTAGTTATCATAAAAAACTAACAAAATAAATCTTAAATTATGTTATCGTAAACTATTAAGTATCATAATTATGTAATACCTTATAGTGAAAAAGCAAAGTAATAAAAAACATATTTCATTGTATATGCCCTATGCTGCCTGTGTCAATCAAGGACAATTCTCAAAAACAACACAGTGAAGAGCAGATTATTTTCCAACAGTAAGGTGTCCCAATACAGTTATGTCAAAAGGTTGAACCAGGTTTCAGGGATTCGCTCCTGTTCGATTAGCATTCGAATAGTGCTTATCTGAGTATGACTGACGTTCAACCCCACCAGGACATCACATAGAGTGTTAAACACCTAGTGACCCAAAGTGCCACCATTCAGACGATGAGACCCAGAGACAGGTACCAAAAGCCCCATTCAAGCGAGACTAGATTATTTTAGGGCCCTGACCACAGCCGGCGTGAAGGTTCAAATTAACTAACAATTGCGTCCCTTATGGGAACAGATAATTTATTTGAGTCACGGTGTGGCTATCTATCAAACTAAAATCCCTAAGGGTAAAATGTTGAACCAAAAAAAAAAAAAAAAAAAAAATCCTTTGTGAACGAGTGAACAGTGCCGAGGCACAAATAGATCATTACGGTCTGAGAAGAATGGCTTTGCAGGGATTTACCAGGAGATTTGGCCGACGCTCAACACTCAATGGAAAGGCGAAACTGATGTACAATCAGGCAGTTAGTAGTACCATCAGAATTAGAACTCTTCGTTGGCTGCCGACGATCAGGACGGAACGCATCAGGGAGTTTTCCGAGAGATGTGATCTCGATTCCTAATTTAACATTCCACAATACATAAATATCTGCGTATACAGATCAAGAGGACCTTCAAGAAAAAGATTGCTAGATGAAGTCGGAAAAATAATAAATTATTAAAATATGTTATTACTTAAAGCAACACATTTGATATTTTCCGAAAAACCAAATCTACCTCATCTCTGTAGCACAAACGGTAGGACAGCAGACTAATGAAGAGAAGACTACACGTAGCATGCCAGTGCATTTAAAGATAATTGTTTCGTACGGTAAGAATAAGATAACTATGTTTAAACTTACTCCTCGTTATAATTATCATATTTATCTCCCTTCCTGTCGTGTAGATTGCCACATTTAGCCAGGGCTACAGGAGATGACCAAGCCTCTGCTGGAGTGCCGCCCCAGCTGGAGTGCACTAGACCTATAGCATGGCCCAGAGTCTTGTGAATGTTTTTCCCATACACCCAGCAAATAGCGGAAAAGTCTCCCACAACTCCTGTGCAGACATGACACAAGAAAGTGAGAAGCAACAGCGTCTTTAAAAATTTATCTTCATCACCACAAAAAGAGATAAAAAGCAAAAATTAACTTCAAACACAAAACCTAGAATGGGCGTAGATCACTAGGCAGATCAAGAAGAATATGGAAGATAACATCTTCAGGCAGACCTACAAAGCCTTGGTGTCACCGACAAGAAAGAGAAGACCAATTGTGGAGCTGAACGGAGCGAACGAAGTCTGAAGCGATGAACCTGAATGGTTCGAAATGAAGATACGGAACATAATAAAATTATGTTATTGCTATCTTAATGTTTTAAAATAATAATAATTACTTGCCTTGGTAACTAGCAGGACAGTCATATCACTTTACCTTGTGATCTTCAACAGAATGAAAGCCATCTATAAACATTTGAGTTTTTGTAACACCGGAATGTCTAAGGTTCAAATCCGCATTGAGGCAGGACTTCTTCAAAATTACCCTGTTTCGTCTGTATAACGCACATTGTTTATATTATATCCCCCAACTCTTACTCTTGCATTCTCTTTAATTTCGATCAAAAAAGTCCAGAATAAACCCAAACTAAAATGGAGGACAGCTAAAGTCCCGGAATGAAGACTCGACTGGCGGGAGATTTCCATCACCCATCGATGCTGATTGGTATATACACAATTGTAGGTCTAGCACTTCTATGCCTGATGCACCAAAGGCCTGAAAGCGGTTTTTTATTTACTTTAATTTCAATGGTAAATCGGGTCACGAACGAATCAAGTCACGAACAAATTGGTCTAAGAATACCATTTCTGAGAACAATACCTCGGCGCACGAACGCGGCCCGCAAACAGCATCACTTGTTTTTAATTGCGTTATTCTTCATCCCCCCACCCACTTCCCCCTTTCTTCCCATTATATTAACAATTACTATGGCATTAAAGACAATTGGAAATGTCCGCTACGGTGTTGTAAAGAAGCCCAAGCGTATTACGAAGAAGGAAATGGTAAATAAACAGAAGAATAGTATTCGCTGAAGTAATGACTATGTTAATGAAGTAATTGTTAGGAAAACTAGAACAAATTTTTGTTCGCCGACGATCTAGCAATCGAGCCGTTCCTAAAATACAAACAAGAGGAAACACACACACACACACACACACACACACACACACACACACACATACACACACATACACACACACACAAACAGAAGTACCTACACAGTTGCCTGACGTTATTTAGGAGTGAACTTCCGGTGTAAACAGCCACAATGGCGGTAAGCTTTTTCGTCCGTTGAGGCAAATGGCGCAAATTAGCTATTTTCGCTCACGTATAATGTGAAAGTTTCATCGGAATGAGGTCTGAACCGTGCAATGGAGTACATGCACGTGAGTTTAGACTTTCCTCAGGGTGTTTTCGACGTCCGATGGCGACTATTTACCAATTCAAAACAACCCGTAAGACGGACACGGCGGAGAACGCGAACAGGCAAGCACGGTGGCGCCTGCAGGAAGCGACTGAAATGTGAGAGACTCAGTTTAAAGTATGTTCGTGTTCTCTACTGGAACTGCGCTTCGTTCAGTCAACGCCGACCCGTTTTTGAGAAGCTCCTCTACAGCAACGACATTGTTGTCCTACTCGGTGACGAGATCGTTAAAATTGCGGGCTTCCAATCCTTCTACAATAGACGGCACCTCGGACAGCTCATTCTTGTTCTTGACCACATACCGGTGTCTGAGGTGGACATGTCTGAGTGGAGTAATGACGACTTACAAGTACACGCAGTCAGAGTGATGGGCCCGGCCCAGTTTGTGATTGTCAATGTGTACGCCTGCAATGGAAAGGTGGATACAGCGAAATGGCAGAGTTTGCTCCAGACGGAGGAAAAGAAAGTCCTTTACTGCAGAGATTTCAACGCCAGAGGAAACCAGTGGGGCAATGTAATCACTAATAAACAGGGGGAAGACCTGGAGGATGCCATAGTGTCTGTCGATCTAGTATGCTTGAACGACGGAAAGGTTACCCGAATGGCAACACGACAAGGGGATTCTGACAGCGTAATTGACCTGGCCCTAGTATCTCCCTCCATTGCATCAGGATGCAGGTGGAGCACACTTGGATACCACTACAGTGATCACTTTTCTTGCGTCGTCCTGGTAGAGAAGAGCAACAACAAAGGTCATGTAATCAATGTGCCTGCTTTTATATATGACCGTACAGGGCAAGATGCCATTAGCAAAATCCGACGACGTAAAACAAGTGCAGATCGCAGCCTGCGGAAGAGATGGGCCCAGCCACCATGGTGGAATGAAGTAGTCAACATGGCGTGGCTAGAAAAAAGGAAAGCTGTCAAGGCATGGGAAAAGGCAAGGAAAATTGATCCGTCACTCTCTGAACGCCTGATCAGTCTGAAAGATGAGGTCAACAAGCAGACTGTGGCTTTCAAGTTAATTGCGAAGGAAGCTAAGACAGCGAAATGGAACGAATTCTGCAAGAGCGTTTGCTCCGAGGGATCTCTTGTGACATTCTGGCGCCTTCAACGGAGCATGCACGGTGCCGCACGACCAAGGAATATCCCTGATTTTCAGGGTACAGACCTGATATGGCAGAGAACTGATGCTGATAAAGGAAAAACCCTTCTGGCGCGCTACTTGGAGCAAACTGACCAAAAAGACGGTGCTAAGAGCATAATATGCAGGCTTGGTAACGTAATGGCTGGATGCTGGCCTGCTGGCCCTAAAAGTGAAGCAGAAACAATCATGGGATGTGAAGGTCATCGAAGAGATGTCGATCTCATCATCAATTTAATGTCGCAAAACACAAAACTACACCCGCGCATGTGTTCTCAGTGATTCACTGAGTACGATCCGGAGGGTTTAGGCTGGAGTCATTACAGAAGTCCACTGTGCATGGAATTACCTTTTTTTTTTTGTTCCCGGACATTGGAGGAAAAGAAAAAGCTGTAGGTTGGTTGGATCCGCTATCACTACCGACGGTCAACCTATGGATCAATAATATATTGCTACAATATTGTGAAGTTCTCTGATACAAACCAGAGCTTGGTCTAGTCCAGCCTTGCTGAACCTCAATAAGATCATCCAGTGGTACAGTGGACAGCTTGTCTCTGACTGTAAACAAGCGAATTGTAGGATAGTTTACATCTGCTTTCTCGGCGGCCGCATCCTCCATCTGAAGTAAATAAATAATGCGTAACAACATATCAGCTGCGAAAACACATTTTCACTAAGAAATTTGATCTTCTTCTTTTTCTTTCGTTCGCTTGAAATAGGTGATCTATTTCTGCAATGTTAAATCTAGTATGAACTTCACTGTCTTTTGTAATTTACTTAGCGACCTATTAGGTTTGACTTGACATTTTTATCAGCCAAAAGTTTAGCCTTGAAATGTTGTATTTAGGATCGTCTTGGAGGACATCATCTGTTATCTCAGGTGCCAATCCACATGTGTACATGGCGGATTGGCCGATTAAAAAAAAAACATTTGATATTTGATCAAATGGGTTGGCCATTAAAATGTAGTTCAACTGTCAAAAAGATAAGATACATCGAACAGATAGATGTTAAAATAAGAGGATACATTGGCGACATTGCAGATTCACATAATTAAAAAGAAAGGACTCCCCATCGTGTGTTGAACTGTAGATTTGTTCCTACTCTTGGCGGCAATAATGGAAGTTGATTAGGATTTAATCAAAGATACAAACAAAAGAGAATGGGGTGTGAGAAGCAACAGAGTATTTCATAAGCTGATAAATTTACTAGTTTACTAGCATCATGCTTGTTAATAGACAGCAATGGCTGGCACATAATATAGAATAGGAGAACATAGAGTGACACAAGATGCGTACACATAAAGTGTGTCATAAATAGCCGACCGTGTAAAAGCAAAGGCAAGTAACTAAACGTAAAATTGCCTATTTAAACCATAAAGAGCCAATAATTATGAGGTTGGTTCAGGTTGGTTGTGCAAAAGATGCACCAGTAATTTTGGAAATAAATAAAAAAGCACACCAGTTTATATTTTTCAGTTTTGACAGTAAATTTTCTTTTCATTTTCTAGTCTTTGTCAGATCTACTAAGTTGAAACAAAAATGAGTTTTTCAATTTACACCTGGGGCCAGGAATAAATTTCGGTGTGTCTACTGCTGGTCAACCATCAACTTACTTGATTCACTGAAAACTGCATGTTTGACTGGCCTGAGCATATCCAGACATCTCCGAAAATAACATCAGTCAGTGTCAGAGTGATTCCTTTAGATGTGACACTAATGTTGGCTGGGGTGTCGGCATTCTGAGGGTCCAGCTCCACGGTCCAGATTCCCACACTTGCATTTGAAGATTTCTGGACTGTGGTTGAGTACGTGTACGTTCTTGTTGGGGTCACCAGCTGAGAGAAATTAAAACTTTCATTAACCCAGATACCAGAATAATGAAAAAAAAAAAAAAAAAAAAAGGCAATATTAACGATCCGAATAAGGAAAAGGAATAGCTCATAAACTGTATCGTCTCTCGTAAACGTCTCTCTCTATTACTATTTCTATACAGGAATATATATATATATATATATATATATATATATATATATATATATATATATATATATATATATATATATATATATATATATATATATATATATATATATATATATATGAGCCATATCAAACGCCACAATGGTATTTAGAAATTAGTAATGAACAGTATTGTTTCTAGAAGAAAAGGCAGGGGTCGACCAGTACAGCGGCGAACACACAGTGAAGAGGAGACCATGGGCATGGACAATCATGAAGAGGAAATGTTGTTAGTAGGACCAAATTAGTTTACTGTGTTCCGTGATGAGAGTGACAACTTGCAAAAGACCAGCTAGATGATTATAATAAGTAAAGTTATGTAAAGGGCCATTTTCAACGCCTTTCAGACGTATTGGGTATTTAGGGCTAGACCTATATGTTATAGACCAAGGCACAGGATTAGTAATGTGGTCAGCTTCACGCCGGCTACTTTTACTTCCGATCACTGCACCTAGTACCGACTCAGTTGGGGTCGACCTGGGAGACAAGGTAATTTTTGAAAAAAAGTCCAGCTCCTCTAGGGAGCGAAACCACAACCTTCCGATCCCCAGGCAAGAGTCTAGTCACTACGCCACGGCGACTCCCTATATATTCATGCGTACCAGTAATTTTGCCAACAATTACGAGACACTTTTTACACATGTTCTATGTGTCTGTGCTAAGTAATAAGAGTCAATGATATTCGGTGGATAGGGCTGCAGACGCGTTTCTTCAATGAAAAAATACCCGGTTTGATTCAGCTGCAGACATTTCGGTAGCAGACTGCTTTATGTTGATTTAAATAATACCGAAAACCTCGTTAACGCCTCTTCGCTTAAGATGAACACTCCATTCACGTGTACAAATTTGGCTTACAGCTGGCGTTTTCATGGATATCCTGTTTTTTTTAAACAACTCGAACTCCTGATTTTTAGGTCTCTCGGAATTCATGTTAACGTTTAGTATGGGGCGTCGATCTATGAGGTGTGATGGTAAACTATTAAAGGCAAAACTGCCCAATCAAACCATTAAAAAAAATATTCTTCTCCATCCGCCTTGCCGCTTGATATGACCAAACAATTTTCAGTCTCCGAGACAGTATGTTGTTTTACTAGTCAAACTTCCTTGATGTTCAGCTACTTTAATGTGTCATTTTTTTTCTTTTCCACCAACAAAAACATCCCTGAATTATCCAAAAGTGCTGAATACAGGATTGTCTGAAGTAGAGCCGGAATCAAGAAATCATTTCAGTAAACAAAAACTATGATCGGGGAACTCAAGAAAAAGCCAAGCACATCCGCCTCTATGGCGGGTATCTGTAGTCAGGAGCATCCCCGCCAAGTATATAAGTACTCTTGGGTGAGCGGGGAGAGAAAAAACAGATTCAGTGAACGAGGTTCAAGAGAAGATTTGTTTAAATGTGCAATGGTAAATTTTATCAAATATTTAGCTGCATGGCCAATAGAAAAAATAAAATTCATTAAAACACATCTGTGAAATGTATAAGCAAATATTTAAAACGAAAGGATAAAAAGAGTGCCTATTATAGCTACACGGGTCACTTAGTAACTTCACATATTTTCTAGGCGTGGGAGCTAAAACCCTTGACACCCCGCCCCTAAGTATTGTTGTTGGCTTACACCCCTCCCCCATTCCCATATTGCTTTGAATGAGGATGACTAAGGTGTCTGATCCCATATACAACTGCTGTGTGAAAGACAGGTGTTTGAAAGAGTTTAAGACGGGCCTGCTTGCCCAATTTGTGACCCTTTGAAAATAAACTTCGTTCGTTCGTTCGTTCGATTCATCAGGTTCCAGCGGTATTTCTGCAGCAATAAACAGTAACAGAACTCGTAAGACAAATGCAGATTCAAATACCTGGGCATTAACTGTCTGACCAATACTTGGGGAGAAACCATAGATGTTGGCTCTTGCTGGCTCTCTCTGCAGGACTAGGTGGTTTTGAAAGTGCTTGGCAAAGGTAAACGTCACGGCGGCCTCTCCTGGCTTACCTTCGTTGTGCGTATTTAGTAAGATAAAACAGTATTAACTTTCAGGACCAAAGGATGTACCACGTGTAACATGGGGGTCATATATATATATATATATATATATATATATATATATATATATATATATATATATATATATATATATATATATATAACAGTTACGAATACCAGCTTTTCTGCTGGGATCAACGGTCAGACATGCACACTGTTTGACTCAGAACTAATCATTACATTAGGTTTTTGACGCAGACAACAAAATCTGCATCTGCCCACATAGTGAAAAAAATCGAAAGATACCCACAATTTATTGTTGTGTTAAGTTAATCAGCAACGATTAGTGCAGGACCGAAGAAGAATAAGAAGATAGAAAACATTGGATAATTGATGACACATTGCAGTATGCTCAGAAAAGACAAACATAGAAGCTAGATATGTGCAATGCCAAATCAACAGAATAAGAAAACATGGTTAAAGAAGATTAACTCAAGGAATATAAAAAAAAAATACAAATTTTGAGCGTATGTTGACAGACTAGCTAAAAGAGAAAAACGGGCGGCTAGAGTTGAAATTGCCAAATACTACATAATACACTAAAATAGTGAACTAGTGCTTTAGTACTTACGTGGTGATCCCATTAAAATAACGGATGTTGCAATGTTTTTAATCTGATAGTGAGCAGAAGAAAAGATGGACAAAACACTTCCGCGAGACTTTACGTAGACCTTACCCACGAGACCCAGTGCATGTGCAAGATATGTGTATATAAAACATCACAAATTTCTATTCATTTGTTTTTCCCTGTGTGGGTTCCGGAATAAATTGCCTATTTATGTGTCTGCTTTCCTTTGAGCAGACTGGAAACGGTTTTGCAAATAAACTGTGCGCATTAGTCGGTCTTGACTGTGTCTGTTCACCCTTGATCTTCTTAGTCTTGGAAGGTCTCTAGTAATGCCAGCATCAGGAAACACTGTTGCAGTCGATAAACTGTGAATCGGTCCGGTGATGTGAAAAATCCGAGCAACACTTGCATTTATTTCACTCGCATTGAAGTATACGATGATGTGATGTCTTTCTCATTCTGTGAGTCACGACATAATGGTAACAAAGCAGTTAATTCGGATCTAATTATGGTGAATAATTTTCTTTTTACATTACAGAGTGAATCGTTCTCAAAATATACGTGTTTCCTTTCTTCAAATATTATAAGACATTAAAAAAAAAAAAAAAAAAAACGAAAAGATTGGGTACATTGGATACAGCCTGGTCAGAAACGAGCAGAGAATGACCAAACAGACATCGACGTGGGAAAGTATGTTTGTTTGTTTGTATAAGGGACCTTTCAATTTTAATTTTTTTTTCACAATGCAACATATCATCTAACATAATTGAAATTATAGCAGTTACCAACTAATTTAAAACAGTTAATAATGAAAATACTCAACATACCTTCATTCTCTATTATTAGCCGCGCACCAGCACTTCTAACACATGCCGTTTTGATGAGAAAACATGCAAGTGTCAAAATCAGCAGTCTGAAGCTGATCGGAGACATTGTAGCGTTGTGTGAGATACCAACAATCCATTAGTCAATACTTATGTGCCCGACTTCAAGAGAGTACTCTAGTTGACATATAAAAAAGGGGTGTGTTATTAAGTGGGATAGATAACAAATGATTGAATTTAGTGATAATGGCACTGTACGTTAAAAAACTGAAACAATTGCCAGTGATATTGAGCTAATTAGTAACCTAGGATATTCATTTTATAGCCGCAGTGGTGTAGCGGCCAGATGCTAGCCTGCGGAAACGAAAGTCGTGGGTTCAGGTCCTAACAGAGCTGGACTTTATTCAAAAACTGACACTTGCTTCCAGAATGACCCAGCCTTAAATGGGTACCAGGTAAAGTCCTGGGAAGTAAAGTCGACCAGTAAGATGCTGACCACATAACCCGCCGACTGACGATTTGTCTAAAGAATATGTCTAGCCATGTATGCACAATACGCATAAGGATGTGGAAAATTGTCTTTTCCTTTTATTAGCATTATAATAATATAAACGCCCTCTACTACAAGTATACTTTCTTTATATTGCAGATTGTTTTCATAGATATGAACTTACAATGCTTCTGTATGTCTACTTCCATTCTTTACGTCAAGAAACAACGTTTATTTGTTTTATGAAGGATTCAGCCGATGCCATTAGTGCTAAAATGCAACATACCAACTATATTTTCCCGACATTGATCAGTGACTGGAAATTGAATAGACCAAATCTGTATCAGGCTTCTAACGGGCAGACAAAGAAGTCTTTTCCATTTGAACCAAGACCGGCTTCAGCTGACGAGTCTTGCTGCTGACGTCACCAAACCTGGCTGACGAGTTCAACAACATCTGACAGCCCTTTTTGCTGAGCCAACCAGACTTGGCAATTAAACGTTTTACTGAAACATATATTATCATGAGTGTACTGTCTTAAAAGTTTTGTCCATTTGTGTCTGTGTGAGTGTCTACGTCTAAACTGTTGGGTAACTTTTGATGTCATCAGCAAGATGTGTAGAATTATTTGTTGGAAAACTTTTCTTAACGAGGGCGAGTCTTGTTAGTTCCACTCGCCATCACCACGGGCTGTGATTCTCATGCCTTCCCATAGGACAGTATACAACTATCGGTTGCACAGAGGGAAAATTGCCAAATAAATAAACCATTCTCTCTCTCTCTCAACACGCACACACACACACACACACACACACACACACACACACAGAGACAGAGAAACATTAATTTAAACTTTCAGCTACACATGCATTCACACACATACTCACACACAGATACATACACACTATACAAGTCAACTTTTCAAGCGTTTAAACTCTTTCTAAATCTAGAGGTCAACTTTAGTAATTGCAATTATGAATTGTGTTATGCATAGGTCTAATTCAAACACACTTTAAAGCCTAAACTCTTGAGGTCGACTACAAGCCATTTCGACTCTATTCCAGGTCGTCTTTGCGCTTCTTCAGTATCTTTTACACAACTTAATTGTAGACCTTGGAAGGCCAGAGTAACTAACAATGATTACTTGAAAGAGGCTAATGAAAGTAGATTTCGATATACAACAATAAGAAAGAGACAAACACTGTTCTTTGGCCACACAATGAGAAGAGAGATATTGGAGAACACCGCGACAATGGAGAGATCCGTGGGAAAAGGGGTAGAAGCAGACCAAGAGAGATGATGCTGGATGGGCTAAAACGATGGCATGGAGGGGTATCATCAAGAGAGCTGTTCAAGGCAACCAGGGATCGTTATATGTGGAGACGCATGAGCGCCTCCGTCAGCTGGCAGGCAGAGGATGATGTATTGTAGTCCAACCTTTGAAGATATATTTACAGAATCATCTGTTTAACTGTTCATGTCATTATTGTTTTTACTTCTCGCCCTCTCTCACCTTGATTCTCATGTATCTCGTGGCCTCGAGGCTATGTATAATTTACTGCAGTGGTTCTTAACCTTCCTACTACCGTGACCTTTTAACGCAGTTCGTAATGTTGTGGCGACCCTTAACCATGCTATTATTTTCGACATTACTTCATAACATCAATAAATGTGTTTTGCGATGGTCTCTTGTCACCCATGTGAAAGGGTCGTTTGACTCAAATAAAAAAATAAATAAAAAAAAAGCGGGTAGCGACCCTTAGGTTGAGAACCGCTGAAAGCGCCAGTTCGTGTGCATGTAAACTGGGAATCTCAGGGACTCTGTGATTCCCTATTTCTATCGCATGGATGGACAGCCTCGTCCTCACTTCCTGTCTGGTCTGAACATCATTGCTTGCTTTGGTATACTTTATGCTGACATACGCGTTTATGATCACGCCATTTTACCTGTTGCCTTCTGATGAAAACCACAGCTGCTGCTAATTTCAATAGGCAGAATTTGTTTTAATTACGACTTGATTTCTAAACAATAATAATAGTAAGTATAAAAAAATGTAATAAGTATAGGTGAAACACACATTATTGTCAAAAATACTTCTTTTAGAGCGCCTTATGGTCGATATTTTAAATAATACTCACAATCTTGAGACCAAAAGACAAGATAGATGGTGGACAGTTTGGCATCATGCTCTAGCAAGCATCTGTATTAGAAATGATTGACAGTACTCAGGGAGACGGTTGGTTGCACACATGACTGCCAGGGCTACATATCAGAGACTATAAGAATATTCTGATCCCAAATAGATTGCATATGTCAAAGGTGATGTATTCTTCGCTTCCAATTTCATAGTTTTCTTGTAATACATGTTAATAAAAACTAGACTCAGTGATACATTACAGTTTATCTAGTTTCCCAGATAACCATTAAATAAATACTTGACTTAATGAAAAGTTCTAGGCGTATTGTACATGGCTTCACATATTTTTTTAGACCAATCGACACTCGATGGGTTTTGTGGTCAGCATCACACCAGTCGACTTTATCTCCCAGGACTTTACCTGGTACCCATTTCAGGCTGGACCAATCTGGGAGCAAAGGTCACTTTTTTATTTAAAAGTCCGGTTCCAATAGGACCTGCATGGGAACTTTTACTTTAGAATCCGCATGCGAGCGTCTAGCCGCTGTATCACTGAGGCTCCCGAATGAATAACGCTAGTTAACTGATTAACTCGATATCATTGGCAATTGTTTCACTTATATAACGAACATTACCATTTTTGCTAAAATACAGTCATTGTTTTTAAAATCTGTCCCACTTAACAACACACCCCTTTAATATTAGGTTAACTAGAGTACTCTCTAAAAGTTGGATACATAAGTGTTGACTAATGGATTGTTGGTATCTCAAACAACCCTACAATGTCTCAGACTAGTTTCAGACTTCTGATTTTGAAACTTGCAGTTTTCTAATCAAAACAGTCCCCTATAACAGTGTCACGAGTGCTATGATGTCGATTCTTAATTCAAAATTCAATGTAATGTTTTGCATTAAAAAAACAAAATTATAACAATCATTCAATTATTAAAAATTCCTTCTACATACTAGCAAAAAAACAAACAAACAAACAAAAAAAAAAAAAACCCATTACGATGCCTGTTTTGTGATTCTCTCTCTTTCTCTCTCTCTCCCTCTCTCTCTCTCTTTCTCTCTCTCTCTCTCTCTCTCTCTCTTCTCTCTCTCTCTCTCTCTCTCTCTCTCTCTCTCTCTCTCTCTCTCTTCCTTGTTGTACCCCACTGGGACATCACACAAGCGATAAACTTTCGGTGACACAAAGTGCCACCATGCGAATAAGGATCATCCGTAGAGTGATTCCATAAACCCCTTTCATCCGTTAGGCAATATTTATAGCCCGGCTATATTCAGGGCCCCGAAAAAACCAAGATGGGGCTTTAAATAACAAAAAATTGCATCACATATGGGGATGACTAACTATAATGATTCTCTGCTCGTTTCCGATCAAGACTACATCCAATGTCATCATCATCATCGTCATCATAAACCACTTTTGCCGTTAAGCCCTTGGGAAGGAGTAATTTGCGATCCAGAGCACGTTGGCTGCCACTGGTTATTGTCATGCCGTCAAGGCGTACAGTGTCTTTAATGTTGTCGATCCATGTTTTCCGTGGCCGTTCTCTTGCTCTTGTAGCTGATCTTCTGAGATGTAGTGCTTGTGATGGTATTTGATCTTGCTGCATTCTAACGAGATGGCCAAACCACTTGATCTGCTGTTTCTCGATGAATCTAGTACAAGGTGTCGTTCCCACAATTTGCCTGACAGTTTCATTATTAACTCGATCTCGGATGGTTAGGAAGGCTGCGTTTCTCAGTCATCTCATCTCGCATGTTGTGATTTTGCGTATATGGGCTTTAGATAGTGTCCATGTTTGGCATTTGTGGCTTAATGTTGAAATGATAATGCTAATAATAATCTGTCTCTATGACTCATAAAATGCTTGGATATCTTAATAATGGCGACAATTGATATATAAGTGCACTTGCTTTCTTACATCTGGTCTTTATTTCTCTGTCAATTCTATCATCTCTTGTGATTATTCTTCCTAGATATTTAAACTCCCTAACTTGATTCAGAGCATAACCATTCAGCTGTATGTGTAGTGGGGCAGGGGTTCTACTAACTTTTATCGTTTGGGTTTTGTTTGCATTGACCTTCACATTGTATTTACTGCATGCTGAGTTTAACTTGTTAATGTGGTCTTGCCTCCAATGTAGCGCCTGTTCTCACTTTTAAATACCAGTGGCTGCCAATCATTTTGTTTTTGTCTTAAACCCTCTAAAGTGACTTAACCTATATATTGTTTATTTGTTTGTTTGTTTGTGTGTGTGTATGTGTGAGTGTGTGAGTGTGTTTGATTGAATGTGTAGTTGTAAGTGTGAATGAATGTACGTGTGTGTGTGTGTGTGTGGTGAGAGTGAGAGACAGACAGACAAACACACAGACAGACATGCAGAAATGAGCACAGACAGTGGGCTGGTTTGAATGACGCAATGTAAATACAGTTTTAGATTATTATGTTGTTTAATGCGTCCTCTTTTCTCCATTTCCAATCACTGCTTGCATGAATGCCAACAATCTTTTTTTGGGAAAAGGGATGAAGGTTACTTTATCGTCTGTTCAGACCATAGTGTTTTACTTTACATATGGGAAGACATGAGAATCACAGTCCACGGTGATGACGACGAGTGGGACTAACAAGATCAGCCCTCGTTAAGAAAAGTTTCACACAAATAAGTGTACATGTATTGCTCATGCCATTTCGATGTCATCAAAAATTACCCAGCGGTTCAGATGCGGACACTCAGAGAGACACAAATAAACATAACTATTAAGACAGTATGCACACACTGCGTGCACTCACCAATACAGGCTGGACAAACAAAAACAAGTGAGTCGACTTCTTACAGCCATAAAGTACTTTGAAGCAAGGTTGAGACTAATTATAAGGAGAAAGAATCAATGCTCATTGTAATATATGTTTCAGTGAAACGTTTAATTGTCACGTCTGGATGTCTCAGCAGAAGGGGCTGTCAGATGTGGCTGAACGCTATAGCATCTATAGAGTCACCAGAAACCCGTTGAAGATGGCGTAAGTACCCTCGCTGTCGCCAAAGATGTGCGACTCAAAAAATGTCTTGACATAGACTCTGTCACGTGACTTCAACCTCAGAAGGATGGAATTAGCTGTAAATGGATTTACATAAAATAACGTAATGATACAGTGATTGTGTTTAACGACATTTTCATACGCATGACCTTAGTCATAATTATCATTATCGTAATCATCAACACCATCACCATTATCGTTATTATTCTCACTCAAATTAACTTATCAAAAGCCAGCTACATCTACGACAGGCTGCTGTCAGTAAAATGGGATCATTGAGACGTCAAAAGTGCAGCGGATGTTTGTTTCTAGACAAATAAGTGTATGGATTAGTGGGTACTAGCTTGCTTATGCGGTCAACATCAAATATCTTTTTCCCTTCCCATGACAATTCCATGTAGCCATTTGAGCCAGTGCCGAACCGGAAGCCAAGAATGCAAGACTGGTAGACATTCGTCAAAAAGCCGCCCACTAAATTACACAAATAAACCATGTATTGACCTCATCTGCAGGCCAAATTCTCTGTGCATAGATTGTCTCTATTTAGTTATTTCCCGTTCAGTTACATGTATTTCCTGTTTCTCTGTAAATTTTATAGAGTTTGTTTAGTTGCATGCATTTCACGTTTCATTATGCATAGACAATGTTTAGTTGCTTATTTTAAAGGTTGCCTTGCACATATATCATTTTTTTAAAGTTATTGAATACTTCGGGTTTCATCGCGCACATATCTTATTTTATTTACCCCATATCACGGTGTGGAATCCGAGGCTCCATTTTGGCGGGGTGAGGGCCACTGCACCTTACAATAACTGTTGTATAAGGCGACCAATTAGGGATGATTCATTTGAGTGCTTCTGCCTGAGAGACAAGGAACCAACAGTTTCCTTACAAATAAGTCAGATCAGTGAAACAGAAACAAAGTCCAAAAGGCTGACCACATTACCCACCGAGTGTCGAGTGGTCTATAAAATATAGGTCTAACACTTATGTGCCCAATACGCCTGTGGACTTAGAAAAGGATACTTTATTATATGCCACATTCGCCATTGGTATGAAAACGGTCCTTATTTTACTTACTGCGATAACGGGCACTTAGTTTGCTTGGTATTAAGAGCACAAGGTAACCCCACAATATTCTGTTGCTATTCGTTTTTTTTTTTCTGAAAACAAGTAGTGCATCACTTTGGAACTATCATGTAATGTCAGCTATCTAGGCGAGGCAGAATCTTCACATAACTTCTATATGAACTTCTAGAAGAAATCTTCTTCTTCTTCTTATCAGTCAAAGTCTGTAAACTAGTTCTGGTTGTTCATCCACTTCTTGAAACGTATATTGTTTCAGAACTGAGTTTTGCGTGCACATACGTTTTACAGTTATGTAGAATTTGTATGTATGGTGTTGGCTCTGCTTATTTGGTAGATGCAGTCCGACTCTGAAGTAAACACCTCTAATTAGTGACCTCTAGCGACACAAACTTATTGGGAGGAAGTCTCAGTGGGTATTTTCTCTCCCCCCTCCCCCACCCCCCGTTTCCTAATATTGGGCCCTGTAGCCGCCAGGGAAAAGGAAGATAATAAAACATGTACAAACGAAACAGTTACCTCCCATGACAGAAGGATCCGAACCTACTCCGTAGATTTTGAAGGTATGAGCTTCGTTGTAGTACAGTTTAAAGCCGAATGCTTTTTGTTTTTGAGATACGGCACTGAGGGTGAAGTAGTACAGACCAGGCTAGAGAACACAGAAGGGGCAATAATATATTGACGTTTCTTATATTTAAAAAAACTGATGCGTGTTTGTTATATAAGTAAAGTGAAAGGCTCTTTTCCACGCCTTCGGGAGTATTTGTCATATAGGGCTAGACCTTCATTTTAAACACATATAAGCACAGTGAATGATGGGGTCAACATTTACCGGCCACCTTTACTTCCCAGGACTATCCCTGGTATCCACTCAAGGCTGCTGATCTGAAGGCGATGGGTTCTGGCTCAGTTATATAGGCACAATACATCTGAAGGCGTTGAAAAAAGTCCCTTTACTCAAGGCTTGGTCGATAAGAGGCCGAAGATCATCTCTGAAAAATGTAGGGTGATGTTAGAAGTGAGTAATCTTCAAGATTCAACTTCTTTCAAGACTTCTTCGTTACTCTTGACATCTTCCCAATGTTTTCTCATCATTCGTCAGTAAAAAAAATATCTGTTGCTTCTACATAATTTTTCACTAATTCTCGAAATGTCTATGATTCACTTCCGTATATTACAGTATGATTTATTTAGCTCCTTGGAATTTTTATGGACGGACATGACTCTAATCATGCAACAATTTAAGTTAACTATAAACCCAAAGTATTTCAGGAGCCTCAGCGGTGCAACGGAGTTCGTTCATTGCGCTAAGAATATTCAAGCTCAGGCTTGTGTTAAAAGTAGATCGATGCACTTAAAGAGCCCAGTTATAACTTGTTTGCAGGTTGAACGGAGTGTCTAGGATTTCCCCTGATTATCGGTCATCCACAATGTGCAATCTCGTGGCGTCACGGCTTAAGTACCGCAAGTACGCACGCCTGCAGCTGCCTTATGTGATTCCCTTTCTCCACAACCCGCTTATGGCTCCTGTACGTGAGATGTTAGCTTCCGATTGCACTGAAGAGCTAGTAGACTGATCTGAGCTTTCCGTCGATCGATTCTGCCCAAAATCCTCTTACCAACTCTACCCTTTCCCTCCTCTTTTCTTGTCACACTTTCTACGCTGCTACCTGCATGTTTGCCGCCTATGCCAGATTAACCGTACGTCAAGATCAGCGGAGCAACAGTGGAAGATTGTGCTGTAAATGAGATTAGTATTCTGAGGCGAAGTAAACTATTTTTTTTTAACGGTGGTGCATATGATGCTAGAATCATTTTATAATACATAAATGTTTAATGTTGAATCAGGAATCTACACTTCAGCACTACGGAGATCACCTTATGAGCTATGTCCTTATTTTCGGCAGCAAGCGTAGAGTTCCAATTCCGATGGCACCAGTAAATGTCTAACTGTCTATCCGTTTCTTCTGTACCTTGAGTGTTCAGAGTTGACCAGATGCCCTAACGACTTCACGCAACACTATTCTCCTCGGACCGTCATGATCGATGTGTGGCTCCACACCGTTCACACGCTACTATATATTTTTATAAAGCAATCGAGACTCAATGGGAGATGTTGTCAACACCACGTGACTGCTTTAACTTCCGACGACATTGCCCGATACTATTTTTAAACGCAGCTAGCCAAAGTATATTCAAAAAAAAAAAAAAAATGGCACCCAAATGCGCAAAAAACTAATGTCTTTTAGCCGGCAGCAGCTATGCTACCGCGGTTCCATAATTACATCAGTTTTTGTGTGTGTGCAGCGTATGGATGGCATAATTCAGGAAAGAAAAAAAAGGGGGGGGGGGGATAATCCTAACGACTATTGTGTGGCTATTGCAGTCGCCAAAGTATCTGCAGATAGGTTAGGATTATTTTTTTCATTTCAATGTTGAAAAGCGATGTGTGTTTTCAAAAAAAAAAAA